ATATATATATATATATACCAACTAGAAAAATACACATAATAAACCATAAATTTCTAGTTCTTAATTTATAAACCCAAAATCAGAACTCAATATGTACACTTCCTACATAATTTTTCTGATATTATGTACAACAGAGCAGGGGTATGGCATTACTGAACTGGAACATGATAATAATGAGATTATAACAGCACTGCTACACACCTCACAAATATCTCTCTAAGTTCTAAAACAGATCAGAATTTCGAGAAAGTAGCCATTATTAACTCTAAAATACAATTAATGACATATTCAAAGACACAAGCATGCATACATTAAGTTATAGAATCATTCAAGCATACATTAATCAAATTTTTAAAACAAGCTCAACATTTGTTCCTCGTCCTCATTTTCTCTTCCTTTTTATATTCAAAATAAAGCGGCAGCTAATCAAATGCAACCTGTGGAAACCTGATAGATAACACGACCAGATAGAAGTTAAAAACATAACTTCCCTATACGATAACAATTTCATAAACCAAAATCATTTCAAAATCAATTTATCCCCCCTACACACTAGGAATTTCATAAATCAAAATAGGTGCAAAATGAAACTGCAAATAACGACACCGTATATCTCCCAACTAGGTTTATCACTTTATCCCTTTTTTTTCTGCTGGTATCCTCTTTGGAAGACAATCCAGTTCTCGATGTTCAGTTGAGCACCATTTTATCCCTTTCCAATTTCATGAACTTTTACACATACTGCAATACAAAAAGTAAACTGCAACAAGTTTCAACGCTTTTGATTGGAAACAATAAATTACCCTCTCTTCCAGGTTTGTTAGAAGTTAATTGAAGTTCAAACCACTATTTTTACCCTACTCTGTATCTAAATACTATAACAACTGCCACCAATTAATCATTCTAATCAACAGAGTTACACCCTCATGTGTCAGATCCATTAAGAAGAAAAACCTAATAGTTACACAATAAAAGCAACAGAATAATCAGAAACCAGGGAACAAAGGCAAAGTGTGAGAAGAAGGTCTCTGACCTGGTACCACCCGAACTGTGGAACAAGCAAAACACCCCGTCATGCGGTTTCCTTTGTCAACTTCTTCTCATTTTATTTCACCCCCTCCCACTATATATATCCGCCAACACTTCCCTCTCTCACAACAATTCACCAACAACGTTTCACTTCTTTCTTAGACAACATAAACTAATGGCCTCTCTTACATTCTTAAGCTTTCTCCTATGTTTATTTCTGGCTGTTTCAATTCTTCCTTTCAGTTCAGCCAGGAAACTCAATGACTCAGAGCCCCAACTGAAGTTCCAATACCACAGAGGACCTCTTCTCACAGGTAAAATCTCTGTCAACCTCATTTGGTATGGCAAGTTCAAACCTTCCCAAAAAGCCATACCCACTGACTTCATCACCTCCCTTTCATGACGGAAAACGGAGGCAAACCCTAGATTGAATGGTTTGATCGGTGTACATTCTAGGGTTGGGGATTTGGGACGTTTTGATCAGTGGAGAGAAAGGATTCAACGATTGAATCGATGGAATGGAACGAACAGAGGTTTTAATCGGGCAAAAGTGAAGATAGAACGGTGAGGATAGGTTTAATTGGTGAAAAATGGATTCTTTGGTGGATTAGGCAGAGGTAAGGGAGAAATGTACAGGAGAATGAAGATATAGAGACTAACCATGGCTGGCGGATTAAGATCTGAGGTGGAGGAGCTCGAAATATGGATCGGAGACGAGCGAAGGTTCGAGAGAAAAAGAAATGTGTGCGGGTGGATCTCTCTAGAGAATGACTAAATGAAGATGTGGTTTGTACATGAAGAGGCATCGCAGGCATTACCGAAGGGCAAAAGGCCCTCGGTAATAAGCCTTCGGTAATACGCGATTTTATTGTAGTGTTCCACCGGCCGAGGTTACCCAATACAAAGTTGAACTCGAAGACTCCGAGACTGTGACTCCAACGACGGGGTTGGTCCTCGCAACGGTCAACTTCGAGAATGTGACGTAGCGAAGAGGTCACCAAAGTTCGAATCTTTAAGGCGGATCTCGCAACGGTCCCGACGAGATATGACGCGGATCTGCCTCGACTAGATCTTGTCGGACTGGAGTCACTCGCCCCTCTCTTCACCGACTTTCGCGGCCAGACATGCTGGCCCAAGATGCCAGGCTTTGTGGGCCTTGCCTTTCTCGTAGTACTGGATGTACTCTTCTCCGTCAAGCTCCATGAAGTTTTTCACGATGAGACCGTCGCTCTTCATCTCTGTTTCCAGAAGCCTCTCCATGAAGACGGTGACCCCTTTTGGTGGTCTGGAGCACAAGGTGATGCAGTGGGGAAAATGGGGGATCACGAAAGGGCCGGCGTCGGAAACAAGTTCGGGATTCGATCTCACGGACTCCATAGCGGTCACGGTGAAGAGGGAGAAGCCGTTGAAGGCGAGTTTGGGGATGCGGAGATTGTTCGCCACGTCATGAACCCAGGGGCAGAGGAAGTCGACGACGACGCAATCGGGTGGGTGCTGCAACTTGTAAACAAAACAAAATACCGAGCAGTCACATGCAGTGGGAGCAGAAGGGACCGAGTGGTCACAGGAAGTGGGAGACGCAGGGATCGAACGGTCACATGCAATGGAAACAGAAGGGACCGAACGATCACATGCAGTGGGAGCAGTAGGGACCAAATGGTCACAGGCAGTGGGAGCATGAGGAGAACACCAAACGGTTGGATGAACCAGACTACTACTTTGAATAATGAGTGAATCTGTGTTCGAAAAGATAAGCTTTGGAGGAAGAGACAGAAAAAAAAAATATTTAATAAAGATATAGAAAACAGAAAAAAAGCTAGGACATTGCACGAAAAGCAGAGGAGAGAGAAGAAAAAGTGCATATTCCTTTGTCACGTCAGTTGGAAGTTAACTCCGTTTATGCCAATTTAACGGAAGGGATCTAATTGATACAATTTTTACAACTTTTGGACTCAATAGATTCCTTTTTAAAACCGAGTATTAAAGAGAAATTCACCTCATAACATGAAGATGAAGTAAGCATTTAAGCCTAAAAACTACAAAAAACCACCTAACTTTACTTAGTAATCATTCGGTCTTATGGTCTATTTTTTTATTAACAAGATAAAAACATACTTAATAGGTATTATGTCACAAGGTAAGTAATTATATTTATTGAATATTTAATACTTAAACTATAACAACCAATTAGTACCTTAAAAATTAATTTGAGCGTCGGAGATCATTTAGTAGTTTGGATTTAAACTCTATCGTGAAGACTTGGTAAAAATAAAAGAATAATAAAACAAAGGGTGTTGCTCCCTCCACCTCCACAGCCTTCTCCCTCCACCTCCCCAATTATCTTTAATTCCAATTATATCCTTAAAGTTAAAATTTTTTATTTTTATTATTTTATTATTTTAATATTTAAATATAAACTAATATAAATATACATTATTAAAATACATTAAAAAGATATTCAAAAATAATAAATCAAAATATTAAAATATCTAATAAAATAATAACAGAAACATAAAATTAAAACAAAGCTTAAACGGATGACATCCTTTTATGGATGTCATCCGTTTAGGCTTCGTTTTCATTTTACGTTTTAGGGTTAAAGGATTATTGGAAAGATTATTGGAAGGATTATTGGAAGGGGTTAGGGTTTAGGGTTTAGGATTATTGGAATGATTATGACTACGTACCTGGAGAGGAACCACGACAAGCACATTACACCACAAACGCACTGCACCACGTACTGCACCGAAAGCAAGAGGAAGATTGCTTGATAATTCTTTTCACGATCACTGAGCTTTGCAGAAAAATATTTTACTCATACAAGGAACTACGTAGGTTATCAGTGAAATATGTTATAAATGAGTAAAATTAAAAAACAATAATTCTAAAAATAAAATTTTACTTAAGGGCAAAATAGTAAAGAGAAGGTGAAGGGAGAAGGCTGTGGTGGTGGAGGGAGCAACACCCTAAAACAAAATAAAGAGAAGTGATAAGATATGAAGAGGTAGTTTCTCGACCTTCCATACTAAAACAATAAACCAAATTAATCACTTTATAAAGTAAGGGTTTAATGTATTCATCAAGTGTTTACACGTTACGAGTTCTATCAAACACTCTTTATACCACGAATTAAATAAAATATTGGGTAATATAATACTTGATGAATATGACAATATTCAAAATTGTGATTTAAAAACTTAAAAACCTTTCAAACCAAAAATTATGAAATTATTAGTTTATTCAGGTCGTATATAAGTATTGTTATAATAGTAATATATTGTTTTTCTTAACGTTTTATTATATTGATTTTGCTAGATGTATATTAAATCAATGCCTTTAATGAACTATGTGACTATTTTCTTCTTACAAGTTATTTTTAATTAGACGTAATTTAAAATATACAATAGGTCAAATTTTGTGTCCGTCTACAAATATAATTTTTAAAATGAACATGTTTTACTCTAACTTACTGGTAGTTTTTGTCTTTAAAGATTTTTTTTAAAATAATTTAATTGATATTTATTGAAACTTATTCACCTGCATATTAAAACAAAATTTCTAAATAATTTTAATCTATACTTGGTGCTGCAAAACTAGTCATGGGTTTATGTTGCAAGAATTTCATACAACAATGAATCTCATGTCACATGTAATGTAACTAATCATGATTATTAATAAACTATAAGTCAAATTATTATTAAGATAACTTAATCACTTCTTACAAATATAACTTTTTGTTTTCATAAAAAAAAATCTATCTTTCCGACAAATATATTTTATCTAACATTAATCCAACAACATAATGAAAACCATTAATAATGTTCTCAAATAAAATTTTGATTATGCAAACTAATATGTTTTAGAAGCATTATAAATGCATAATCTCTTTCAAAAATTGTTATTATAAATATAAATAATTGTTATAATTTTATTATTATAGTTTTATTTATTTCTTAAATAATTTTTTATTTTAGATAATTATTTTTGTTTAAAAATAAAAAGGATGGTTAAATTAAAAAAAACAATTAAACTAAAAAATCATACTTAAAAGATAGAATTAATTAAAAATATTAAAAAATGTACATAATCATTAAATGATGATTATTTCTATAGAAGAAAGTAATATTGTTTGTGTTTTTAGGTGAGACGATATTAGAGATGTTGGAAATGGATGCACAAAACCTAAATTACAGCTCCTTTAATTTATTTTACGACTTCTAACAAATAGATAAAATAAGTTGATTTTTTTTACCAGTAAAACGTTTTCCGGTCTCGTGAGCGGTGGAAGCGGTGGCCGTAGCTTCATTCTGACGCCATGAACACTGTTATCTGCCACCGCCTAAGGCTAAGTTCAAAACTACTTCTCTATTCTTTCCCCAAACCCTCTTTCTTGTTCTCAACAACTACTTCCGATTCTGTCTCCTTCACCATATCCTACCTCACCAACACCCGCGGCTTCACACTAGAGGTTGCACTGAAACTATCCAAACGACTTCGTTTCAACACCGCCCAAAAACCCGATTCCGTCATCTCCTTCTTCCAAACCCACGGTTTCTCCGCCCCCCTGATCCACCGCATCCTCAGCAAATGCCCCGAACTCATGGTATGCGACCCCACCCGAACGCTTTTCCCCAAATTCCACTTCTTGGCCTCCAAAGGCGTTTCTGCATCCGGCGTCGTTTCCATTGTCACTAGGAACCCCTGATTCCTCTGTCGCAGCCTCGAAAACTGCATCTTCCCCACCTTCCAACTCCTCCGAAGGTTCTTTCCCTCCGACCTTAGAGCTCTCGCTGTTTTCTTCACCTGTCCCTATGTCATCGGCAACTGTCACTTGGCATCAAACGTTGAAAGGTTGTTCGACGCCGGAGTCGCGCACGTCGGCATTCGGCACTTGCTCTCCTCTCGGTCTTTTGTTCTCTGCTCCAACCTGAGAACCCTTGTGGAGGAAGTGAAGCTGTTGGGGTTTGACCCTCTGAAGGTGACCTTCGCTGTGGCCCTTGAGGCCAAAAGTACAGTTTCGAAACCCCTTTGGGATGCCAAAGTCGACGTGTTGAAGAAATGGGGTTG